TGGTAAAGATATAGGATCAAGTGCATGAGATCTTATGACCGTTGACCTTGAATATAGGTCAAGGTCAAAGGTCAAGGTCATTGGAAAAGTACAGAAATTGTCAATTTAAGCTTAAAATTCAAATAACCTTGACCTTTGACCTTGATATTTGACATTGACCTTGACCTCTGACCTTGACCCTTACTCAAAAGGTCATAAAGAAATATTCATTACCTTTATCTAGATTCAGCTTCAAGTGGTAATCTCAAGTTTACCTCTCTCTCTCTTTCTTTCTTTTGATGACCTTGACCTTTGACCTAAACAAATGACCTTGACCTTTGACCCCATTGACCCAAAGGTCACAATCAAGCGAAAGGTCGTGGAGGTATTTACAACCATCACTCTAACAAATGCTTATAAAATTAACCCCCCCCCCCCCCCTTTAAAAAGAAAATCAACACCAACTTAGAGAAATTGTCTACAAGTCAAACGAAACGAAATATCGGCATAAGATTCGTAATAAAAGCAAGAATAGACCTGAAAGAAAGTGTCCTGAGAGTTTTAAGGTGAGTCTCTAAAGTATTTTGAAATTATAGTGAATATCGGCAAAATCTGCATTTTTTTCTGTCTGAAATTTAGTTATTGCTGAGCATAAAAATTAATTAAAACTCGTATTGGCTATTTCTGCAATTATTGTTAATATCATTCGATTCTCCTGCTCTATTACGACATTTTAATACCAAGTATTCTTGCTTTCTTAGGTGTATGGAATTTATTTTAATTTTATTTAGATTTAAATATGAATCGACTGAATCTCTCGGAAATAGCGATTTTTCATATCAAATAAATTTCCACGCAATTTAGATAGGTTAAATCAATTGCGGATACCCCGCTTTATACAGTATAGTGTAGAAAAAATGTCCATGACTCACTCACAGTTTTTTCCGGGATTTTGAATTTCCTCTGCAACTGACCACGTGTATTACTTTCGCTTTTACGACTCTATATATGCTAAGTGTCATTGCTTCACTGCAAATGTGTCCCATAATTATTCTAATCATTTTCCTACATACAATATTACATCAAACCGGCAAGATCTCAGTTTTTTAAGAAATTTGACCGGTACTTTCCTACGAAACTACAGGTATCCTCTTCCACCTTCAAAAAATAAATTAGTTTACAAAATACGCTTACTTGTGTACAACTTGATGGCTCAATGGTTAGCGTGTCCGACTTACAAACTGAGGGTAGTAGGTTCAAGCCCAGCTGGAGAAACATTTTTTTTCATTTTTTTTTTTTTTTTTTTTTCTTTTTTTTTTTTTTTTTTTTTTTTTTTTTTTTTAATTCAAATGACATGAAAACTTAAAAAAGGTGGAAAGCCGTTAATTGTTCAGAGAACAATTAGTCTCCTAGTTATTCTTATTTTTCTTCCGCTGATTTTTTGTTTCGACATTTATCGAAAAGACTTTTTGTTCATCGTAAAGGTCATTAAAAGTTAGGAACAAATTTGACCCAACGCGTATGAACTATGTCCGCTTTCGAAGTTATTGCCCAGGCCCTTTCGAAAGAAATGCTTGTTATCGCTACTCCTTTGAAACCGTAAACCGTAGAAATATGAAACCTTCACTAAAGTCTTCGACTCATTGAGAGGACTCTGGAATCTATTCATTGCGAAAGTATTCGGTGACTCCTTCAATGAGTTATTGCCCCTGAAACTTTTTCAATTTTACAAATAATTAAAAATTTTTAAAACGAGAAGTGATAGAGACATGGGACTAACTGCATAAGATTCATTGAGCTTTGAGCTTAAAATTCTTGTAAAGGTCAAAGGTCAAGGTCATTCCAAAATTGAGAAATTAAGCTCTTTTAATATCTTTTTTGTCTCGTAACATATACAAACTGTCTTAGCATCATTAATATGTATTCTTAAAACTATTTTAAAGATTCAATTCATATTCCGTAAGATTGACCCTATTAAAAGTTATTGCCCCTTTCGCAAGAAATGCTTGTTACCGCTACTCCTTCGAAACCGTAAACCGTAGAAATATGAAACCTTCACTCAAGTCTTCGACTCAAAGAGAGGACTCTGAATCTATTCATTGCGAAAGTATCCGGTGACTCCTTCAATGAGTTATTGCCCCTAAAACTTTTTGAATTTTACAAATACTTAAAAAGTTTCAAAACGAGAAATGATAGAGACATGGGACCAACTGCATAAGATTCATTGAGCTTTGAGCTTGAAATTCATGTAAAGGTCAAAGGTCAAGGTCATTCCAAAGTTGAGAAATTAATTTCTTTTTATATCTTTTTTGTCTCTTAACATATACAAACTGTCTGAGAATCATTAATATGTACTCTTAAAACTATCTTAAAGATTCAATTCGTATTCCGTAACATTGACCCTATTAAAAGTTATCGCCCTTTGTGCGGAAAAATCTTGTTATCCTACTACTTCGAAACCATAAACCGTACAAATATGAAACCTTCACTAAAGTCTTCGACTAATTGAGAGGGTTCTGGAATTTATTCATCGTGAAAGTATTTGGTGACTCCTTCAATGAGTTATTGCCCTTGAAAGTCTCTGAATTTTAGAAATAATTAAAAATTTTCAAAACGAGAAGGTATAGAGACATGAGCCCAACTGCATAAGATTCATTGACCTTTGAGCTTAAAATTCATGCAAAGGTCAAGGTCATTCCAAAAACTGAGAAATTTAGCTCTTTTTTTATCTCTTTTGTCTTTCAACATATGCATAATGTCTATGCATCATTAATATGTACTTTTAAAACTGTGTAGTAGATTTTATTCTCGTCCCTTAAGATTGACCCTATTAAAAATTATTGTCCCTTGTACGAAAAACATTTTTATTGCTATTGCTCCAAAACCGTAAACCGCAAAGACACGAAACCTTCTCTAATGTCTTATGGGAATTTAAGCAAAACTTTTACGTTCAAGTGCAAAAGGATCTGGTGACTCCTTGAATGAGTTACTGCCCTTAAATGTTTTTGTGCTTAGCAATAAACCTTATAACTTTAAAACTATAAGTCATAGAGACATGGGGATAATTACAATGTGACTCTTGACCTTTGACCTTGAATATGACTTGAAGGTCAAAGGTCAAGGTCACCTAAATTTTTTTTTTCATTTTCATTTTTTTTTTTCTTCTTTTAAGCCATTCCTGGTTTCTTTTTAATGAAATTTAATTTTAAATAAATATTAAATGAAATTGAAATTCAAAAGGTGGAAAGACCTCTTATTGTTCAGTGAACAATAAGTCTCCTAGTTATTTTTCCGCCGCATGTTTTTTTGTTTGAAGATTTATCGAAAAGATTTATAGTCCATAAGAATGTACTCCCTAAAAGATAATTGCAGTTCACCCTGCGTAAATGAACCTTGACCCCTTTCGAAGTTATTGCCCCTTTCGCAAGAAATGCTTGTTATCGCTACTCCTCTGAAACCGTAAACCATAGAGGTAGGAAACCTTCACTAGTGTCTTCGACTAATTAAGGGGACTCTTCAATCTATTCATTGCGAAAGCATTCGGTGACCCCTTTAATGAGTTATTGCCCCTGAAACTTTTTGAATTTTACAAATAATTAAAAATTTTCAAAACAAGAAGTCGTAGAGACATGGGACTAACTGCATAAGATTCATTGACCTTTGACCTTCAAATTCATGCAAAGGTCAAAGGTCAAGGTCATTCCAAAAATGAGAAAATTAGCTCTTTTTGTATCTCTTTAGTCTTTCAACATATATTTAATGTCTATGCATCATTATTATGTACTCTTAAAATTTTTCCAAGATTTCATTCTTGTCCCCTAAGATTAAACCTTTTAAAAGTTATTGCCCCTTGTGCGAAAAACCTTGTTATCGCTACTCCTCCAAAACTGTAGACCCTAGAGACACCAAACCTTCACTAATGTCTTAAGGGTCTTTAGGCCTTACTTCACTGTATAAGTGCAAATGAATCAGATGACCCCTTATATGAGTTATTGCCCTTTAACTTCTTTATACTTACTATTAAACCTTATATCTTGAAAACTATAAATGGTAGAAGCATGGGATTAATTGCAATGTGACCCTTGACCTTTGACCTTGAAAAAAATTTTCAAGGTCAAAGGTCAAGGTCATTTCAAATTTTTTTTTTTTAAATTTTCATTTTTTAAGCCATTTCCATTAAAATTAAATTTAGAGAGTAAAATATAAAACTATAAGAAATTTAAAAAGGTGGAAAGACCTCTTATTGTTCTGTGAACAATAAGTCTCCTAGTTTTTTTTTTTTGTTTGCTTGTCAACTTTTTTCAGGTAAGTAAAAAAAAAATTTCTCCGGCTGCCCCCCCCCCCCCACTTTCAAAAACGATGCTACGCCACTGTAAAGACTATCCAAGGCACTATGAAGCATTTTCTACAAAAAATCACATGTGGCATATACCAAATCAGGATGTCAAATTTTATATTTGAACCTACGGATGGAAACTGTTTTTCTTCCATCGATAGGATAAGTCCCTAATAATGCCCCCGTAACGATAGCTCGGGGGCGAATAATGTTTGTGTTCTGTCTGTGTGTTGTCAAGTTTAACCTTCTCCATAACCTTTGAACGATGAAAGATAAAGACTTTATATTTGGTATACTAACTTCACTGATTAAGGTCATTTAAATGACACAAAGGTCAATGACCTTGATTGTGACCAATATGCTAAAAGTAGCTTTTCCGAACCTTCGCCACTTCTTCAACTTTTGATCCGTTAAAGATAGAGACTTCATATTTCATGTATTTGGTAAGCTTACTCCATTAATTCCTTTGACAAGATATATCCAATCATGCTGTGATTTCTGACCCCTTTACCTTCATGTTTGACCTAATTCTAGTAAAAGTCTGCTTTAATAAGGCGTTCAATATGCAGAAAATAATGACATCTTACCAACAAAGACACAGAAAGCGGGGCAACACAATTATTCAAATTTGCTTGACATTTGTAATTGTTAAGTAAGAACAATATTATATTTTCATTTTTTATGATTAACAATATTGCCTAATCAGCAGCATAGGTCTTCGAGTCTTCAAGCTCTCTTTATATAGATGTTTAAAACTTCAGCTCGTCCATACCCTGTACAAAAGTATTTTTTTCAGAGTTAAAATTCAAACACTGTGGGTTTAAATAACTTCGTCTTTTATAATGAATCCTGATATTTTTGGAATTCCTGAATGTCCATACTTACTCATATTTTGCCATTTTGTCACTTTTTCATCTTTACTGTATAGAAATTGAGGGTAGGAATTCTGTTTTTCCCAGCGGCATGGTTTGGATCCCGGGGCGTCCATGACAACAAACCATCCCGAATCTCCTGGACACCCATTACGAGGATATGACTTGTTAATAAAGAAATGTCTTCCATAGCGAGCTTCCCTGTGAACAATTTTTTTTCCATTCAATTTTAAATGCAGATAAATATACAAGCTGTTGAATAGTAGTGTGTGTAATACAAGATGGCTGAATTCAAACTATTTTATTAAATTATTACGCAATGTAATTCGGCATAAATTGTAGAACAAAGATCAATTATGTAATTAAGGCATAACAATTCCGGAAAAAATATAACACAAGCTTTTATCGTTCCCCGCTTTTAATGAAAGTGGGGAACATTAATTTTTGGTATGTCTAACATTGTCTCTCCGTCTGTTTGTCTGTATTTTGTAACACTCATTATCGAGCAATAGAACATGCAATGGAATTGTAGACCTTAAATCCCCAACGCGCACAGAAGACAAGTATTGACTTTAATTGACTTTGGCTTCAAAGGTTTATGTCAATATTTTACTTATTTCGAACACTTTGGTTTCAGGACCCTTGGGGGTCATGATTTGAACAAAGTTGAATCTACACTACCTGAGGATGTTTCCAAATGATACAAGTTTCATTATTCCTGGCCCAGTGGTTGAGAAATTTTTTTTTAGCTCTACTGGTCAGAGACCAGAAGAGCTTATGCGATAGTAATGCGTCCGTCGTCCGTCCGTCTGTCTGTCTGTTTGTAAAATTTTTTTTCAAAATGCGACTCCTCCTGCAGTTTTAGTCTGATTTCAATATAACTTGGCACACAAGTAGACTACACTAAAATACATAATTCTGTTTATCGGTTTTTGTGTTGCCTTGGTTACTAAAAATAGATATTTCTGTGAAATTCTTTCAAAATGCTACTCCTCCTACAGTTTTGGTCTGATTTCAGTATAACTTGGCACACAAGTAGACTACACTAAGATACATAATTCTGTGTATCAGTTTTTGATTTCGATGAGCAGTGTTGCCATGGTTACTAAAAATAGAAAATTCTGAGAAATTCTTTCAAAATGCTACTCCTCCTACAGTTTTGGTCTGATTTCAATATAACTTGGCACACAAGTAGACTACACAAAGATAAATAATGTTTATCGGTTTTTGACTTCAATGGACGGTGTTGCCGTGGTTACTAGAAATAGAAATTTCAGTTAAATACTATTAAAATGCTACTCCAAATACAGTTTTAGTCTGATTATAATATGATATAATGTAATTTATTGCTGTTTTAAAGTTTCAATTCCCATCTGCTTATAAGTACTTTTCTCTTCCTTTGCTTCAAGTACAAACCAGTTGAGCTTCAATCTCGACAGAGACTTCTGGTTTTAAAGATGCCACTATTTTTTAACTTATCTCATTTGGAAGAAGCCGTGTCCTTTCATTTGAACAACTACGGATGTTTTGTGTCAGGTTTGAAATTGGAAAATGTGAAAAGCTTATAGAGGGACGGTTTACGGACAAAATGTGATTGAAAATGTTCACTTGAGCTTCAGCTCAAGTGATAAACTTATTGTCGATTTTGAGGTCAATAGAACAAAGGTTAAAGTAAAAATTTGATAAATTCTGTTTGATTGTAACACTTTCGATTCCGAATGAAATCTCGAAAGGCCCGAATTTTGCAATTTTTTAGCATAGCTTCCTATGGTCCAGAAAAGATTTCTTTAGATTTTTAGGTCAAAGATTAAGATGCATTTATGTCTGTATATCACCCTATTAAAACCTTTCAGCTTTTTCAATGAAAATTTAAAACATACAGTATAATTTGTCCAAACCGGCTACCGCCCGTTCCATAAAATTTGACCGGTTTAGACAGAATCCGGAGTGCAGGAAAAATGCAGGAAAATATTAATTTTGAAATTTCGTTGTTTATTTACAAGTACATCATATACATAATATAAAGTATAATTAAATTATAAAATCAATCAATATTTTGGAGTCTAGAAATTATAAAATAGTCTCGCATGACTTACTGTATTTTCTTGTTTGTTCACGAGGTTTGAAAGTCTGGTGAAATGTTACCTAAATCAAAATCTACAGACACGCGTTTTATAGGCCTACTATATATCAAGCGGACCGGGTTTCGCATGTCAAAGAGCACATTCAATGTATAACCAGTAATGCACAATTATTTACGATGTGATAATTATTGGATTGAACTTTTAATTTTTATGTAAAAAATTTTGTCTTCCCCACACTGTTATGGCGCCATTTTGAAATGCGTTCGATTTTCGATCCCGATTTATATTTTGATTTGTAAATCGCGTACATATTATATTTTTTGTATTTATGTTGTAATGTGGTAAAATGAATTAAAAAAGGGTAATTTTTCTTTTAAATTGTACTTTAATATTATAACATTTTTTTTCAAGCGGGCTGTATCACCGCCGCATTTCAATGAGTTCGTCTTATGGCACTAGGCTAATGTAAACACAGATTAGCACATCCACCACGAAAGGTGTTAATTGCTTAGAAGTAACTCAGGTGTGGCCGGATTAGGGGAAATAATTACCATTAATTATGAGCAGTTGGGACCAGTATGGCCGTTCGGAATACAGAATAGACAGTATCCGGATTACACAGAATTTTTTCTAATGAATTTGTTAAAGAAGTGCATGGGACTAAAATTTATAGACGGAATGGACAAAAATCCGGAGTACTCAGAGTCCGGATTAGACAAATTTTACTGTATATCCTTATGACCTACAGAGAACATTTCATTAAATATTTTAAATTATAAATTTTAATTTCATTTCCTATCACCTTTCTCCTATAAATTCAATAACAAACTCTCTTTAATATAGCGAGGACCCCTATCAATTTTGACGTCCAAATGTTGAACTTTTTAGAAAACGTTATGGACAGGAGGAAGTAATTCATATAAACAGTCGCAGTCACATATAAGTTATTTAAGTAATATATGGACCATGGGCCTTATTGGTCACCTAAGCATCATGCAACAACTTTCCAGTGATTTTCATGTTTTAAGATAGATAATATGGCATTCACAATATTGTTCATCATAACCATACACTTAGCAATTGCTTAGTTTGGTTACTTAATACCCATAGGCAGGGTAGGGAAACAAAAAATGCATTCAACTAATCAGTAATATTCAGCAATAATCAGTAGTCCCCCTACCACATATGAACCCCTGACCCTAGCATTTTTATACATTGTTTACAGACAGACGAACGGACGCATTACTGTCCCATAAGCTCTTCTGGTCTCTGAAAAAATCACAACACCGAAATAAATTCAACCTTAGTCGCGCTTTAGCAAAGTTCATTTTGACGTCAATGATAATACGTAAGCAAGTTAGTACGGGAGATAAGATTTTTATACAAAAAATACAGTTATATAATGCGGGTAAAAGTATATTTCTTAAACGAATATAATTATATAACATTTTTTGAAGAAGTTTTTTCATTATATCACAAATATCATATTTTTATCCATATGCCCTGAAAAACTGCTTAAGGTCATTGGCAACACGGTTTCCGGAGAAAAAAAGGTTATAGATAATTTTTTACACTTCTGAAAAAAGTCATTGAGAGTGACCTCCCGTGTGGAATTCTCTGTGCGCTGAAAACAAATAAAGCATTTGTTACAGACTGAGAGGTAAACAAAAGCACGTGTGTTTTTTTTTATCGGATATATTCAACTCTACAGTAATAAAAGAAAAGCAGCGATGGGTTTGTTATGCCCCCGTAAACGAAGTTTCGGGGGTATGTAGTTTTTGTCGTGTCCATCTGTCTCTCTTTTTGTCTGCAAAAACTTTAACCTTGCCCATAACTTTTAATCTAGTGGAGCTATGGTATTCATATTTCACATGTGTATTCCTTGTGACAAGACCTTTCTGTGGGTACCACCAAATTTGACCTTTTGACCTTGACCTTGGAGTTTGACCCACTTTTACACAAAAATTTTGACCTTTTACTTTGGCCATATCTTTTGAACAGTAGATACCAGGACATTTATACTTGACATTTATATTGTTTGTGAAAAGACCTTTCATTGCATTTCAACAACCTTGACCTTTTGACCTTGGAGATTTCTGTACTTACAAAAAAACTTTATCCTTGGCTATAACTTTTAAACTAAAAGTGCTAGGGCTTTCATACTTCACATATGTAATTCTTGTGAAAAGACGCTTCATTGGATACCAAGAACCTTGACCCTTTGACCTTGACCTTGGAGTTTGACTTACTTTAAAAATACAACCTCGACCATAATTTTTGAAGGGTTAGTATTAGGGCTTTCATACTTCACATATTCAATTCCTGTGACAAGACCTCTCATTTGATACCAAAAACCTTGACATTTTGACCTTGACCTCGGAGTTAGACCCACTTTTACACAAAAATTGCAAATTTTTACTTTGGTCATGATTTTTAAACGGTAGTTACTAGGAATTCCATTTTTAAAATATCACTTCTTTTTGGCAAGACCTTTCATTTAAAACCAAGAATTTTGACCTTGACCTTGGAGATTGACCGTCTTTTTACAAATTTTCACCTTGGCAATATCTATTAAACAGTAAGGGCCAGCGCTTTTATACTTACCATATGTAATCTTTGAGACAAGGCCTTTCATTAGAAACCAACAACGGTGACCCTTTGACCTTGACCCAGAGTTTGTCCTTCATTTAAAAATATTTACCTTGGTCATAACCCTTGAACAGGTGGTGCTAGGGTTTTTTTATTTCACATATGTATTTCTTCTGAAAAGGCCTTACTTAAGATACCAACATAATTGATCAGCATTAGAGAAAGCTTAACCTTCACTATGTTGCCATACGGGGGCATCAGTGTTTCACAAACACATCTTGTTTACATTGTGCTTAGGGGCAGTGAGTCAACAGGTCGTCATTTGGAATAGGTACACGAATGCTTGGAAGTGCAAAGATGTGAAATAATTATGCTGAAAGTGATGATAGCTACGTAGACCGGACGAGAACAATTCTATACGTTATGTGAAGGAGGCACCATTTAAACTTACTAATAAATCCTTGCAAAAATGTTTTATGAGAGTTCGTTTCCAATAAAGTAAATTATGGAACCGGTCTCTTGATCATTGTGAATATTGATTAGATAATAAGGGAAGTAACTCAAAATTAAAGAACAGTGCTTGTATTTCTGTGTTTTATTTCAATATTTGCATTTTCAGCCAAAGTATATGCAAGTCAACGGAAATAAAGTTTCAACAATGTATTTTTTGTACACACCTTATGAAATAAATGAGTTTTGGAGAAAACTTATGGTTGAAAATATATAGGCCCATTTTATCAACCTTTACCTAGGAAATGCATTGAAAATTGTAAAAACATTGATTTGACAAAATCTAAATAAAGGAAAGCTGGCTTGATGGGTAAAAAGGACCTGAATTAACATGTTTGGTTCCATTAAATCCGTTAAAAAAAATCTTGAAAAATTCTATACGAATATCAGAAACGTTGCCAATGTCCTTAATCACATCGGATATAGTTATATTCCACCGGAAACTGTTATATTGCCCTCCCAAACACAGTTATGTTCCCTCGCGTGCAATCATTCTGCATATTAAATACGTCGGGTTCGAAATTCACAGAGGCTGTTGCTAAGCAAACGTAAACAGCTCCGCTTAAATTAAAAAGTCGGGACAACGTCTACGATTTGTTTATTTGAATATTCAGAGGAATTAGATAATTTAATTGAGGAGAAAAAATCCTTTAATGCAACAAAGGTTATCAACACAAATGTCAGTATACTGAAAAATTCTGCCTTGAAACAGGACGGGATATTTCGGAATTATACTCAACGTACATGTGAACATAGTGATCAATAAATATGTTCGATTATCAATTAGGGGTCAATGTTTAAAAATGTTATATACCCTATATTACATGTCTTATTCTTGGGCAGCAATACCAGAATATTTGCTTCTCGGTGACAGGAAAGCCATGGAGTGTTATGTCGCCCTCTGCCTTCAGCATCGGGCGACATAACACTCCAGGGCTTTCCTGTCACCTTGGGACAACTATTCTGGTATGCTGCCCTCGAAGCCATGTAATATATGTATAATGTTGCATTTAAAACAAGTTTATTTCTGTTTATAAAATGTTTTTCTTAAATTTCACGTTCTTTTTCTGTAGTTTCCCTTCGGAATTTGTAGAAATGAAAAACAGTAACGTGGGGGTTTTATTCTTGGCACGGCTTCTAATGTGTTCGTTTACAGCGGTACACTGCTATTTTTGTTCTCTAATTTGTTGTCGATGTACGGTCATTTTAAGTCTCAGGGTATCTCCTGTCTTGCCGATATAATTTCCACCACAATATCTATACATGTGTACATACATATTTCTGCTTTTTACTTTATGATCCACTTACTTGTTGAGTGAAAAAATATTAAATTGTCCTCCTTTCCGCATATCAGGCCAGCTGCTTTTTAGTACTCTATTATTATGGAACCAGTTCATGTAAGTGGAGTCTTTCCCATCAAATTCGACAAATGCCACAGTCTTGTCTTTAGAAAATAGTTCAACTTTTACCTTGGAAGTAACAGGTAATTTCTCATTAAAATTAAGCCGTGGACATTAAGGATCCGAATATATTGTTTGACGACATAATCCTATGAACAGTGCATTCATCGTTACATGTTTTTAAGATGAGAATATATTAATATCATTACTACTTCAATCTTACCTTACCTTACCGTTCATGGTAGCTCAGTCGGCAGAGCGCTCGCTCCGTGATCGGGAGTTCGAATCTCGGCCGCGACTGACCTTAGTTGATAAAAAAAAAATGGGTAGCAACGTTAACTGTTCCTTCGCCATGCGCTCGGCACTTTGAAGTGCGGGTCCTTCGTATGAGACCTTAAAAACCGAAGCCCCTTGTCAGCGGCAGGCGTTGGCAGGATAAAGATCCCTCACTGCTCTATGGCCCTGAGTGACGAGTAAAGGTCAAAATCTTAAGCTCTTCACCTGCATACGGTGACGTCTCCATATGAGTGAAAAATTCTCGAAAGGGACGTTAAACAATATACAATCAATTAATCAATCTAAACTTCAATTATTATACATGTATATACCAGTTCATTCACTTTTACTTGTAAAAAATTGTAAAAAAAAAAAAAAAAAAAAAAAAAAAAAAAAAAAAAAAAAAAAAAAAAAAAAAAAAAAAAAGGATCTCACTATCGTGGTAAGAAGAAACATGACGTTTAAGATAAATCAATAAAAATTCTTCACCTTTTGAATATTGAGACATTCCCAGAAGTCAATTTTGATACTTCTTAGGATTTTAGGACATTGATCTTTAGCTGTTTCCCATCTATAAGACAACGGGCAGGCAACCATCTTTAACGGAACAAGGGCAGTTGTTTAAGTTTAAGATATCACATTCTTTCTGAAACTTTGCTTGCCACGTCTTTATGACATTTTCCCCTTTCCCACTCAAAGCATGGAAAACAAGTTCCCAGTCTCCTGAAACATGTGAAAGTAACCAATCTATCATGATATGAAGTGTGCATGATGCTAAACACATTTTAATTGTAAAATAGACATGATTTACCAAAATATGATCGATACTTAAAGCTGAACACGACTCGTAAACAGGTGTACATGTACGCCATTTTCGATAGCATTATCTACGATACATCAACACCAGGGTATACTATTCAGATTCGTCACACCTGACTACTTTATTGCCATCGGAATCGGTGTGGAATGTTCGTGCTTTTGTTTACATTTGATTGAAGTTACGTGTATCTGTGTTTGTTTGTATACTGTACTGACCTGAATAAGTATAATTGTAAGTTTCTTTTGTGCATATATCTTACTTTCCTGCATTAGATTAGACGAAGTATTACGTTTTTTTGTCGCTACCGAGTGCTGTATAGCATACGTCCGTATACACCGATATCGACTGATTACACTGAAAAGAGGATAAGTCCTGCCCTGTATATAGGGGTCTGCAGGTATTCTGCAGAGATTCTCTGAACAAAAATGGCGGACGCATTCCTTTTACGAATCGTGTTCAGCTTCAAGCTTGTACAGCAATTGTCATTAACAGTGTACTCAGAAAAATTCCAAAGTTATAAGAATTTCGTGTAAAAATTCTAAATAATTGAAATACTTGCAATTAATACCTTTTGCTGTCGCTCCATATGCAACATAGTTCAAAACAAGGAGTTCAATCACGGTAATAATAACATGAATTCTCATATCTAGTCCTGTATGTAATCTACTAAACGGAAAAATTAATATTTTTACACAAAATATATTTAGAAGAGATGCTTCAAACTATTTTGAAGAGTGTGAAAATGACTAAATATATAGAGAATATTACGTACTAAATCCCGATGTTTAATATAACTACATATTACATTGCTTTTGTTTGTTACACGTCCCTTTCGAGAATTTTAACCTCATAATTTGGCGCACCACATGCTGGGAGAGGGCTCACATTTTAGATATATACTTATTTAGGTATATACATGTAGCAGCATGGTATTTTGGTTTAAACCTACTCATCCGAAAGGTCATCCCCCGTGAGATTTGTTTAAAGTAAAACTAATTAATGCTAGGATAGACATTTGCATCCCATTACGTTAAACCTACTAGTTAGCATGTTTTCTGTTTAGTTTTACATAATTCTGTGAATCGGCTTTTAATTTCGATGAAAGGTGTTGCCGTGATTACTAAAAGTAGGAAATTCTGTGAAATACTTTCCAAATGCTATTAGTAGCCTACAGCGTGACGCAGTGGTCAGAGCGTCTGCTCTCGAGTCTCGAGTTCGAATCCAACTGTTGGACGTGGAGACCGGTCTTTCGGATGAGACCGTATAAACCGAGGTCTCGTGTCGCAGAAGGTGCTGGAACCAAAAAGATCCCACCCTGCTTAATGGCCCCGAGTGCCGAGTGTGGGACAAAATTTGAAACTCTCCACCGTCAAGTGGCGACGTCTCCATGTCGGTGAAAAATTCTCGATAGGGACGTCAAACAATACATGTATGCAATCAAAATGCTACGCCTCCAAGTTTTAATTGGACGTTAATCATGTTAGTCAAATAATTGGCCTACACTAAGATACATAATTCTGTATATCGATTTTTGTTATCCTTGACACGGGATACAATTTAAAGTCCCATCCGACAAGCTTTAAAAATTTTATAAGAAATTTCTGGTTTTAGAAACCAAAATCGTTCATCAAAATCAAAAACCGATGCACAGTATTATGTATCCTAGTAATCATATCAGAGTAACAAAGAGAAAATGCACTTCCATTGTATAACCAGTTGTGCACCCCAGCCCACAGGTGCACTTTAATATTACAGGGATATGATTACCTTACACTGATTATATTATATATGTAATTGTAACACTAAATTTTGATTTTTTTAAGCAAATATTTATAACGATTTATTTTAATTTGTCATTTGCGAAAAAAAACAGTTAAACAACTGACTTACCCAATAGTGCAGAGGTAGTCCTATCCTTAAAATATTGATTACCATACCTTTTTATATCCCCTAACACATGACACTATTAAATTAAAATGAAATTCGATTCCTATTGTTCTTTTTGCACTTGGTGATTGTTATTCTGATAATTACATTACGATGCAAGATTGTTTTGATTGTAAAATTGTGATTGTTTTTAAATTAAAATATATTTAGTATTATGAAATGAACAAGGAGCCACGGACCTTATAGGTCACCGGAGTATCAGTTAACAACTTGCTAACAATTGAATTTCGTTCATGTTTTAAACCAGAGGCCATGAAATTCACAATTTTGAAAGAGATATCTTTGCTTATCATAATTTTACACTTAGCATGCTGACTCTAGTTACTTAATACCCAGAGGTAGATCTGAGTAACAAAGAGAAAATGAATTTCCATTGTATAACCAGCTGTGCACCACATCCTACAGGAACCACTTACCCTGGGGCCACAAATTTCAAAATTTTATCAAAAATTTTATTTCATCAAAAATGGATGATTAATACCGTAGAGCAGACAGATTTCAAAGCATTAATTTATTGCAGACTATGTAACACGCCCCCCCAGGCTCTGCTCCTGGGTAATAAACAAACTACATGTAAGTACATTATTATAACGAGCAAGAATGCCTCTTCCAAAATTGTCAATTTTATGACCCCTGGTTCAAGGGTTCTGGTGTTAGGGCGGGGCTCTATTGGTTATATAGTGAAAATGCATTAATTCTTTGACAATCTTTTCTCTGCTCCCGGGTGTTAAAGAAACAAACTAAGTACATAGTTATAATAAGCGAGAATGCCTCTTCCCAAGTTGTGAATTTTATGGCCCCTGGATCAGGGGCTCTGGTGTAAGGGCGGGACTTTATTGATTATATAGTCAAAATTCATCAATTCTTTAAAAATTTTAATCTCTGCTCCTGGGTATTAAATGAACTAACAAAATGCATGATTATGTTGAATAAGGTCTCTTCCAAAATCATAAATTTCATGGCCCCAGGGTTAGAGGTTCTGGTGTTAGGGTGGGGCTCTATTGATTATATTGTGAAAATGCATAAATTCTTTAAATATCTTCTCCTCTGCTCCTGGGTATTAAACCAATGAGCTATGTACATATTTATGATCAGGAAGGATGCTTTTTCTCAATTTGTGAATTTCATGGTCCCTGGGTCAGAGGTTCTGGTGTTAGCTAGGGGCTCTAATGATTATATTGTGAAAATGCATTAATTGTTTGAAAATTCTTTTCCTTTGCTTCTTGGTAATATACCAATTATCTAGGTAACATATTTATGATAAAAGAGGTGCCTTTTTCAAAATGGTTCATTTCAGGGCCGCTTGGTTAGAGGTACCCATGGGGGGGGGGGTACATGAAAGTCTGAAAATAAAGTAATGCTTTAAAATCTGCTCTTTGGTTTTGTTTTAATCAACAATTTATGATGAAAACAAATTTAAAATCATCTATGATTTAAAATTCAAAACCTATGATATAATTTCCAAGACTTTGAAATATGTGACCCCAGGGTCAGTGGTTCCTGTGGGTTGGGGTACACAACTATTGGTTACAAAGTGGAAATGCATTTTCTCTTCGTTACTCTGATCTATCTCTGGATATTAAGTAAGCATTCTAAGTGTATAGTTATTATAAATAATGGTTCCTCTTTCAAAATTGTAAATTTCATGGCTTTTGGTTTAAACACGAACCAAATTCAATTGTTCGAAAGTTGTAAATTGATACTCAGGTAACCTATAAGGCCCGTGGGCCTCTTGTTAAAATTTTTATAATTCTAAAGCACAAAAGTGAATAATTGATTGATTAATATATTGTATGATTTAACGTCCCTCTCGAGAATTTTTCACTCATATGGTGACGCCACCACTTGCGGTGGAGAGCAGCAAATTTGTCCTGTGCACAGCATTTGGGGCTATTGAGCAGTGAGGGACCTTTTTCGTGCCAGCACCTACTGCGATACGGGACCCCAGTTTATACAGTCTCACCCGAAGGACTGGTTTCCACGTCCCACAGTGGGTATGAGAAGTTACCATTTGCTGTAAATGAATTGTTCTATAAAAACATTTAACATGTCAAGATCATTAAACAAGACGCCCACGGGCCTTATACGTCACCTGAGTATCATGTAACAACGTTCGAACAATTGAATTTGGTTCGTGTTTTAAACCAGAGGCCATGGAATTTACAATTTTGAATGAGGCACCATTGCCTATCATATTTATACACTTAGCATACTTGCTCCAGTTACTTAATACCCAGAGGTAGATCAGAATAAGAAAGAGAAAACGCACTTCCACTTTATAAGCATTTGTGCACCCAACCCCAAAGGAACCACTGACCCTGGGGCCACATACTTCAAAATTTTAGAAATTTTATCAAAAATGTTATTTCATCGTAAATAGTTCATTAAAACCAAAGAGGAGATTTCAAAGCATTAATTTATTTTCAGACTATGAAACAACCCCCCCCCCCCCCCCCTTCCCAGGGAGCATGAAATTAACCATTTGATTGATTCATTTTTCTTCATCATAAATATATGTACTTGGATCACTGGCATAATACCAGAGACATATAATACGGGACCGCTGACTCTTTTTCCCGCCAAATTATCTTCATGTTTTCGCAGCGCCCTCACCGGGAGGCATAGAAAGACTTCCGGTCGCATTAGCTGCAGTGTTTTCTTCGCAGACTTTGGGGTAAATATTGCTTATATGTTGTATATTTTATTATTTGTAGCTTGTACGTCAATAATAGTTTACAGAAGGTGGATATCTATGATGTATTTTTGCAGCTATAAAGAGAAATTTAAAAGATAACACGTATAACATGAGACCATGCATCAAGATGTTTACAGCATGTCGTTATCGTTAAACCTAAATAAAATTGTTCTCTTGTTGAAAAGTTGC